TATATATATATATTCATAAATTTATGTGATTGTTTTTGTTTCTTAAGGAACAAAACAAATATTTTTTTTTTTTATTGGTGTAATTTTATGTTAACCTGTTTTATCGGGAGAAAAGAGAAAAAAAATTGAATCGATTTACAGGTTATACCATATTGTATTTTGGACAATTTAACTGCTATGTTGGGTGCCTGGTGGTATCTTATATGCGAGGCTTTGAGTAGAACAGCAAATATTTTGGCTGAACGATTTCAGAAGGTACGAGACTATATATATCTGAAAACGATTTTATGCCGAGTTAAAAGGCAGCTATGTCATTTTAAATTCTAGGCCTTACGTCATATCGGTCCGGCTGCAATGGTAGCGGATTATCGGGCTCTTTGGTTACGATTAAGCAAATTGACTCGAGATACGGGAACTGCGACCTGTTACACATTCACCTTTCTGAATGTATATCTGTTTTTTATTATCACTTTGTCAATTTATGGATTAATGTCGCAACTGTCAGAGGGATTTGGCATCAAAGATATTGGTCTTGCAATTACTGCCGTTTGGAATGTTTGTCTCCTATTTTTTATCTGCGATCAAGCTCATTATGCTTCATTCAATGTGCGTACGAATTTTCAAAAAAAGCTACTTATGGTCGAGTTAAATTGGATGAATTCAGATGCACAAACCGAAATTAATATGTTCTTGCGTGCCACTGAAATGAATCCATCAAATATCAATTGTGGCGGCTTTTTTAATGTAAATCGAAACCTATTTAAAGGGGTAAGTTTGACATTACTTTTTACATATGCAAAATAACATGTTCGATTATTGCTGCGCTTTCATTTTACAGTTATTAACAACTATGGTAACATATTTAGTCGTTTTATTGCAATTTCAAATTAGTATTCCAACGGAAATTCACAATACTTACGTTAATATGACGCTTGACGGTGATGATTACGATGATGACCTATTAACGAATGCTATCATAACCACAACGACTACAATTGCGCCTATTAAAGGACGGAAGGGTTAAATTTTTATCATATTTTATTGTTATTGACTTGAAAATAATTGAAAAAAATCATCAAAAAAATAAAAGTAGAGCTAGCTAAGGCACCATCTAGCATTCGCTAACTCTGTACGTCAAAGTTTTTCTTATAACTATTTTTAAATATTAGTATTATGAGAAGTCGTTGCAAGCAAAATTGTTTTTTGTGCAATATTAATCCAATAAGTATAACCTCACTTTTTTGCTTATCAAAAACGAGAAGGTATTCAATATTCGTATTAGAATCTCGGAAATTTCACTGTTGATCACTTTTTACTTGAAAAAGGCATTCATTGAAAATAATTGGTGCAATAAATATTAATCCAATCTATTTGACATCATTTTCTAAATGTTTTTCGTATCTTTCTGGGAAGATCGCGATACCGCTGCGTAAGAACGATATTGGTCGATGTCAGCGTTTTCAGTCATTGAATCATTTTCGCACTTCTGCAGCGTGCCAGTCAAGCCATGCTGCGTTGATTTGTACAAGTGGTAATCAAGAAGCGCTATGTCGGATGAGTATGCTGGCTGCACCAGAACTTCCTGTTCGAGGTGTATATGCTTGAAAAGTCTTGCAACGCGTACCCGAGCGTTGTCATTCACGAGGATGACTTTGCTTCTGTTAACCGCTTTTGCTGGTCTTTTTTTGCAAGACTACATCGTTCAACTGATTTGCTCAATTGAGGTCGGCAAACATCTGCAGTAACAGTTTCATTCGGTCTTAGCAGCTCGTAATACACTATACCTTGCTGATGACCATGAATATTGCGTGGATGGCTCTCCTGGACTAATTCATAACTTTTCGAGCTTGAGATTGTCGTAGTAGATCCATCAGTTACAATACACTGGCACGCAATGAAATCGCGATATTTATGTGAAGTAAGGTCAAAATCAACTAATCTAAGCGTTGTGTTTGCATTACTTTATTATTTTCATCAATTCAGATATTGCTGATCAAAATACATGAAACCATCTATTGTTATAAACAACTGTCAAACGCCCGAACCTTCAAGATTTTATTATTTATTCTAGGGTTTCAAGGTTTTATTGTATATCTATACGAGGTTATAAATATATCAAGGTCAAGAATATGAAAATAATCGAAATAAATGATATAGATTGATTAGGATAAGGAATTTTTAATATATTTTTCTTTATTGAAAACTGGTCTGAAAATATAATTAAAGTATCATCTATTGATTATAAGATTTTAATTTTTACTATATTTGAGTTTTGGGATCATTATGATATACATACACGTACACATAACCAGTGCGGATGTACATTAAAAATTATTGGGACAGCAGCTTATATTAGAAGATATTAATAACTACCATCGGGTGATTCGGTTAAAATATGTTTATAGCCATTGCTGCCCAAGTACATATTCTCGCGTCGAAAATGGAATGGTATCTAAAAATATAGACATTTTTCTTCATACTCATTAAAAACGATACAATTTTCACTTTGCAAAAGCGGGACAGTTGTTAAGGAAGAATTTAAGTATTTATACTTACAGATCCAGGTGGTGGACATGGTATAGCCACAGTAGCGATTTCTCGCAGCTTATTCATTGTACGTAAACTTTGATAAAAGCAATGAACAACGTACCACATCATTGAATCGAATAGTAAGAGCGAAGCGCAAATTGTAACTGAAAAGAAATACAAGCTTTTCAAATATGAATTTTCTTCATTCAGTTTCCGTATTTCACGTTGCTTAAACTCTCCAGCATATCCGAGCAATTATAAGTTATACGTTTCAGTTGCAATTTAAAAATACTATCAAAGGTCAATAATAAGCAAATAAAATAGTAAAAGAAAAACGAATTTACGGTTAAAAAACCACTAAATAAAATTTATATACTTTTATATATGAAATTTTATTATATCACTACTATTAGTATAATTAATTTTATCCCCGGAGAAATAAATTGAAAGACTAAGATTGTCGGCTTTACTACACTTGACATTTAAACCCATGACTATTGAGTTGTTTGTCAAGGCCGTTTGACTACTCGGTCACTCAGGCCGATCACTTTTCGAAAAGCGATTGTTTTATACAAAGGGTAGTTAAGAAGAATGAAGTCATTATAGTCGGACATGAGTCGGATAGTGAGACCGTTAAGCAAATTGCATTGGTTCCTCTAATATAATTTTTAACTTGGTTTAAGCTTTTAGTTTAAATGAACTAATAGGTAAGGTAGGAGAAAAAAATGTTCACTCCTTTTATGTGATTACGTATGAAAGTTGCGCTGCCCTAACCTTACAATTAACATGATTAGCTTGTCATATTTTACGTTCCATGCGCAATAAGATTCAATCTACAGAAAATTTGACTACGCTACATTGTATTGTCATTGGAATGAATCAGCACGATCAGACATAGAGCACAGTGTCCACAACACCGATTGGCAGCTTGCATGCTGATGGGAAAACAACTTACATAAAAGCTTATTAAATATCAAAAATTATACTTTCGTTCCCATGGAAGCCGTTGTTTGGGAGATGATCTAAAACGTGAATTCAAAGGGTTTAAAATTGTGCGAACAGTAATCTTTTTTTTTTTTGCCACAAGATCTTATTATTTTTCACTTTTCAACTTCACAACGTATTGAAAATGTAACTTGTTTGTAATATAAAAACTTACTTTGCCATATGAAAAGGAATTCAAAATTTTGTCCGATCCAAAATTTACGCACATTAATTTAATATTCTCGAGTATTGTTTGCCAATGCATTTTGTCGAGATATTTAATCAAAAAAAAATTTCAAATTTTTCTTTTCATTCAATTCGTTTTCAATATGATTTGACATTGCACTAACAACTCAATTAAATTATATCGAACATGGCAATCTATTGAATACAAAAAAAAAAAAAAAAAAAAAAAAAAAAAAAAAAAAAATACTTGCTCAGACATCAGACAGACAGAGGAATAGAAAAGCTTGAATCGATATAGCAAATGATTCTGAATCGATCGCTGTGATAAACAAAATTAAATCTACTTTAAGTCTTTCCAAGTGTTACAGACATCCGAACAGGTTTAATTTACCATGTACCATGTAAGAGGAGAAAGAAAGCAAAAAAATATATGTATATATATATATATATATATATATATATATAAAAGTAAAAGAGTAAGCGAAACTTACAATAACATATTTTACCGCCAATTATTTGAACAAACTTCTCACTCCGTAGCCATATAATGAGAACAACAGCTGTTACAATAAAAATTAATTCAACAATCAACCATGGTAGTACAAGTTCGGAGCGATTCTTGTAAATGCCGAAAAATAGTGCAATCGTACTAAGTAAATAAACTGATGCTACGCTCGTTAGAATGTACATAAGAATTTCAGTAACAGAGACTAAATCGGATGCATTACGTAGACGAAGTTGATTCTGAAATGGCGCCAAACTATAAAAACCATTCTCTTTTTGATCTTCAATATCTGCAATTAATATGTTCCGCATTTGTTCGGCATGAGCCAAACCTAATAGCACCATGAAAAGTAATATATGAGCAACGACCTGAAATCGACAAAAATTTATTAATATATGGTAAAAAAAATTTAGGCAATTGAATGCCTAGTTGAATGAATAACTTACTAATTGATATATGGAAATGAGAAGAGCCGATAAACGTAAATTCTTCGGTGATACAGGTGCCATTAAAGTATCGACAAGTTTCCGCCAATACATTTCCAATTTTTTTTTGGGTAACATCATCTTTTTATTAAAAGGCCAGTCAGTATCTGATTATTATTATTATTATTATTATTATTATTATTATTGTTATTATATATATCACTTCAGAATCGAAGTCATTTATTTAATTGTAATTGATTTTTGTCTGGTGGTAAGCTTACACATGCTTACAAACATCAAACGTCAGAAAAATTTTCTTTACTTCAATTAATATTTTATTTACGTCTATCTCAATTCACATATATATATATATATATATATATTTCTCGCAATTTTAATGAAAATTATAAATAACGAGTAAGCACCGTTAACGAATAAAAGTTTTATTTTTTCGTTTTCGCTTAAATTTTTTTTAATTATAATCGTTTTATTTTTATTTTTTCTTAATCACATAAAGCAGTATACGCAAAAGCTTATTTATTTTTCGATTTATTCCAAATGTATATATGTGTATATATATATATATGTATATATATATTGTTGTGATTTTGATTGTTTATTAAGAGTAATGGAAAGCTTTTTTCTAACTTTGTAAACTTAATGGGAGAAAATTGAAAAATACAGTAGCGTTTCTCGATTCATAATACTTAGCACAATAAAGCATCACGGACTAAAATGAGAGACTATTATATTACGATTCTTATTGTTTAAGATCATAATATTTATTAGCTAAATAAATTAGATTCAATGATGATGATGATGATGATGATGATGATGATATGACAAACTTTTCGAATTTTACGTTCACAATATTTAAACTAATTCGAAGAATCGGATAGAGATTCTGAAGTTTACTTTTCTGATCCGGTATATATTTATTCGACTTGATCTCCACGAATATTCCGGCGTCTTACGCGATGAGTAACGTTTAATAATCCCGTGCTCTTACGATGGATATCCATATAAGCCTTTCATATTATCATTTGAATTGTTTTTAAAAATTTTGTCACCAAAATAAATCTCTGTTAATTATGTCTCTTACACTTATCCTTATATTATTAAATATATATATCTATATTTTTTTTTTTAAATTGCAACCACCTTTGGTTCTTCTCTCTATTCAAATAGACGGTCATTATAATTGTATCTTTTCAAGGCATTTGAGCAGATACATGCGCGTTGAATGCGCAATGTTTGTGGGAGGAAAGCTTTTTTTTTTTCTTTTTTCTAATGATTACCATATGATAAGAATAAGGTATAATGCATTAATTCCGTTGGTATTATTGTGTAATTGTGGTATTAACTTGATTTCAATATGATGATGATTTAAATTTACACTTTTATGTCAACCTACAATAGATAGAGTCATGTTGTCATTCTGTGCTTTGACACATGACTTTTATGAATCGTTACAGTCGCAAAAATGAATGATAAGAAGCGAAAATTCGCCACAATTACTTTACTTTACCTTAATCGATAAGAAAGCAATGGTTGAAAAATCGGTGTGAACTGTCCGAAATATACGTTTACAAGATAGTTTTAAACAATCTTATATCCAAATGTTTGCCAAAGTCAAAAATGGTTCTAATCGGTTTACCGTTACGCCTGCAGTTAACGGTCCGGGAACTAACTTTCACAATTTTCACTTTTTTCATCTCGATTTTTTTGCACTATTCTTAAGATTATATTCCGCAGACAAGTATGTAGGATTTGAAGATTTAAAGATGAAAGAGCGACTCTTTTTGGTCAAACACTTTGGCCAATTTCACTAACCAAAGTTCAATAATTGAAAAATTCTTTGCGTAATGATAACTTGATAACGTCTCGTGATGATGACTTCAGTGTTGCCAATTTTTAATAAATTTTTCGAAAGTAATGTTTCTTTCTAATAATAATTAAAAAGATATGCTTAATAATATGCTTAAATATTATTATTCTATTATCACTCCATCGAAAAAAGAGAAAGAAAAAACATCGAAGAACTTATTTTTTTTTAGATTGCTATACCGGCCTTAATAAACTTCTTTTTTTTTTACTTCAAACAAATATTTTGCTAAGCAATGCATGGCATCAAGTTCCCCGTAGATAAAATGAAATTCCTTAACTAAAGACAGTGTATTTTCCAGCAGTATTTTTTTTGAGAACGGGCGCTGTCTACGCACGTATATTTTTTATGATTTATGTATGTATTGAAATTTTCGCAGCTTCTCGTGTTATCTTTTTCATTTATTAAAATGTATATTTCGTCATCATAGAGACTCTTGATTAGGGTAACGATTCAGAGAGATTAATGTTACCTCTTCGAAGTCGGTTGAGAGAGTTATGACTTGATTTCCTTCAGAAATATGCTTTGATTTTAAAGTAATCGAGGTTCAGAAGAACGCCAATGCAGGCTCTAGGTCGCTTAAAAGCTGCTTTCCTGCTTTATAAACAAATTCTTGGAATCGAGAAACCAAAATGGCTTAGATGTAATAATTTTTATCAACAACTTTTGAGGAAAAAATAGCAGAGACAATAGGTGATAGATGCATAGGACTGCAAGTTTTCATGCGTTGGAAATATGATCAGTAAAATATACTGTACTGTATAGGTCCATTAATTTCTTTTTACATGAATTAGATAGTTCACTGATCATTCACGGATGCCCTTCCCTTCGATATAAGATTTTCCAAGAATGCAACACATCTATCAATGGGGTTATCGGCTGCCATCCCTTTCGATTTGGAGAATTAGGTTTCAATTTTCAACACTGACATAAGATTTTCCAAGAATACAAGACATCTATCAATAGAGTTATCGTTCGATAGAGAAATTGGAATTCTCTTATTTTAGATAGAAGGCAGAGGAAAAGTATTCATACCACATTTTAGAAAAATGAGTGGAGATCCCATATAGCTCAGTTAAAGCTCCGTTAGGAATGCAGATGATAACAATTTCATTGCAATTTGACTTCGCAACCAGTTTATTGATCTTCTTCCGTACCGAATTCATAGACGTGTTCGTGTACATTACTTTGAAGAAAATTTCGAAACTAAGTGCCTTTGATTTCCGTATTCCCGTCCTGAACAGAGACTTAGTTTTTTATATAAATAACAAACGGCTGCGGTCGGAACATCTTTTCAAGCGATGTCATAAATTCATTTTCTTTTTCGTCAATAATGTAATCATGTTATTCTGTCAAGGAAGCCTGGCATGTTTAAAATGCCTGCTAGATTAAGGTGTAAAGGGATGGGCAGTCGCGCGGACGGTTTTACACCTAATCGAAGCACCTAATCGAAGTTGCAGTTGTCGTTAAAAAATTTTGAATTTTGAAATGAGTCTGCAGGTTTGGAGCAATCAATCAATCAAATCCGCTTAACTTGTTTTGCCGGTAAAATGCCTTGAAAGAAGGACTTTTTTAAAACAGTGCCACGACATTTGTTTCTTATTGAATTCCGTAGAGTGTTCCAACTATTAAAGGCGCCATATATAATCAAAGGTGGTTTGCTAAGAATTATTAAGAAGCTCTTTGATATTCCAAATGTTCAAAAATTTGAAAATTCTTTATTTAATAAAGTGGAGACACAGGAGCAGAATATTTGATTGGCTATCTTGATATAAAGGAATTTCCCTTAAAAATGTTGCTATAATCGTATGTCGACAATAATCGTAAATAATTGCTATGCAAGTGGTTGCGTTCACTTGAAGTAGAAGGAATGTGCGCATGAGAAAGATATTTTGATTAATTGCAGGTTGATTGTTATAAGGTTTGGATGTATTACAATTTGTAAGCGATTCGTTGGCGTTGATCGTTGCCGTGCCGGTGGCATTCAGTCTATTGGGCTTCACGATATTTGTTGTTGTTTTGATTGCGTCAATATGAATTTTCGTTGATGATAAATTCACTTATCACTAATATCACTTATTAAGTTTGATTTGCGACGCGATCGTAGCATAAGTATTATTATTATTTTTGTTAATTGCTTGCAAAGTACGATTTAATGCCCGGTACCTGTAACGTGTTTCTCGCACATTGCAACAAAATTTTTGTGTTAATTTTTAGGATTTGATGAATTTGTAAACAACGTGGTCATTGTGGACGGAGCGTTGATCATTGCAATTGGTGCAGAAAATACGGGCACAATTTTTAGAATGTCTAGGTCGACTAGATTTAGCTCAAGGCGGTACATTATTGCATTTTTTTCAAGTACAAACAAGGTGTTGGTAGTGTTCACCTATCGTGAGATTTGAGAAAGAGTAACAACGCAGCTTGGCATCGGAAAGACTTCCATTTATAACGTATTGAAAATGGTCGTTTCCAATGACCGGTATTGAAGTGGTGCAACCTCCACTATTTTCAACAATGTTAGTTCTCGGATCGAAAGACACTGGTGTACTATATTTCGCCAAAATTTTTTCAAAAACTGCGGCTTTTGGGTTGAAGAAAAGAATACAAGATGGACGGACGGACAGGCAAGTTTGGATTGTTGTAGTGTTTTTGAATTGATCGCTACAATAAAAGGGACGGTTTATCTCAAGTTCTGCTGACTCGTGTATACATACGCACAAACTTAGTATCACAAGTAGTAGTTGCTATAAACACGCCACAAGGTTTTTGGCGCGTTGTGAAAGTATATCATAAATAGTATTTAATCGCAGCCAACACACAGGTTGCCCGTAATGGTGACTAAAGATAAGTAAAACAAATAAAAATAATCCCGTTAGATCGACCATTAAAAGCCTACAAAAGTCTGTCAGATATCAGATGCAAGTGGTGGCACAAATGTTATTTTATGAGTAGGTATAACTATATCGTTTCAGTCACATATCATTAGGTTAATTAGTAACTACGGATGAAGTATTTTGAGTTTGGCGAAAATATTAAAGAAATGGCTTTCTTTGTACTTGGAGTTTAGCTCCCCGTCAGCTTCACGGGAAGAGTTAAAAGGGGAGCAGCATTTTTATTCTTCCTGATTTTAGCCAATAGGAGAGATGACACATTCTAGCCGCATCCATATAGCTGACACGAGAACGGCAGAAAGGAGGCATCCGGTGCCGTTAAAGGAATGATTGTTGTTGTAAAGTTTGTCAATGAAATGTCCACATAGTTCTTTGTTGGACACAAGCCTAAGGCAGTGTGTTTTT